TTCTTTGAATATTTGTCTGCATAATCAATCCTTTTTCTTCATGGAATATTTTGCAGGTTCCTTCTTTAATCAAGAAAGCCAACCCCTTCTCTTGGAATCGACCAACACTAAGCAGATTAGTGTTTAGATCAGGAACATAATAGACATCCTGAATCTGCAGATTCATATGTTTCAGCTTCAGCTTGATAGATCCCTTTCCAGTAACATTGAGTCTGGAACCATTTCCCAATCTCACATTTCCTTTGAAAGTTGTGTCCAGATCAATTAACTAGTCCTTGCTTCCACACATATGGTTGCTACATCCTGAGTCCAAAAACCAGATTTCTTCATCATGCTGTCCTTTAGATTCTTTCAGGAAAGCCATAAGTAGCACATCTTCATTGAATTCAGTGGAGTTTGAGTAATTGACCTGCTGATTGTTGTACCATTCAGGACATTCTCTAATGAAATGACCTAGTTTGTGACATTTGTAGCATTCAACAGAGTCTTTACTCCAACTTCGTCCTCTACCTCTTCCTCTTCCTGGATAAGGACCAGTTCTGCCTGAGCCTCTCCCTCTTCCACCAGATTCATAGCCCACCTTGAGAGCATGATCTTCTTTGGCAATCTGCTTCTTTTGAAACATCTACTCATGCACTATTAATGAGCTTTGAATTGCATCAACACTTAATTGCTCTATATCTTTAGATTCTTCAATAGAGCATACCACATAGTTGAATTTCTCAGTAAGAGTTCTGAGAATATTCTCCACAATCTGAACATCAGTCAGATTCTCACCACAATTTCTCATAGAATTAGCTATAACCATTACTCTACCAAAGTACGCAGAAATGGTTTCACCTTCTTTCATTTCCAGCAGCTCGAAGTTCCTTTTTAAGGCCTACAGTTGTGCCTTCTGTACCCTGGCACTGCCTTGGAACTTTGTCTTCATTGCATCCCATAAATCCTTTGCAATCCTCTTGTTTGTGATGGTCTTCAAAATTGTTTTGTCGATGGAGCTGAAGAGATAGTTTTTTGTCTTCAGATCTTTCAATCTTGAGTCCTCCCGGCTTTTGGTTTGTGTCTCAGAGAGAGTTTCACCACCTGAGGGCTCTCCAAATCCTTCATTAACCACTCCCCAGTACTCCTTTGACCTCAACAGATTCTCCATCAGGAGACTCCAATTATCGTAGTCTCCATCAAATTTAGGAATGCACACCTGTGCGTAGCTGCTATTCTCACTCATTTTCACACACTTTTGCAGATTTCCTTTAGCTGGAAATCTTCACTCACCAACTTGGAAGCTAGTTCTCACTGGTACTCTCGTGTTTCCCAATTCCCTTATGCAATCAGACTTGTAGAGTTCTCTCAATTCCTTGTTTGCTAGGTTACAGTTTGCCAAAAGCTCTGATACCACAATGAAAACTTTGAAAGGCAACTGTCACCTTTTATTAATGACGATAATTAACGTTAAATACATAGACTCCAGCCATGAAGATCGGCCATTACTAACTACCACATTCATATGATCTGTGGTTCCTTGATTTCAGCTAACAACTTAACCCACTAACACTGCAGACTTGGTTGCAAAGCAACCTGACTCGACACAAAGACTTGACTGAACAATAACATAACATTGGGACCAGACTGACACTTAACCAAACGACTCAGCAGTACCAAAATGCCACAGCTGCTTCTTATTTCCAACAGCTACTTACTTTACCAACAGTTTATCAAACTGAATGATGACTAATAGGGGTGGAAATCGATACGATATCGATATCCCAGTACCAAATAACAAAATTTCGGTATCGATCTTATTTCTCTTTATACTTTCTGTATTTCGGTTCTCTTCCATACAAGTTGTAGATTTAATTTAATGAAATAACCATTCCTGCAAATCTAAAATTACTCTATGCTCCATAACAAAATTTTATCTCCGCGTGTTCGGTCTATTCCAAAAAAGTATGATGGTATGCATGAGGATTGATGGTATGATTGAGAAGAATATCACAAATTTCTACAATTATAGCCGTCAATTACATGGATTGGGTCTAAGTACTGAAATCTTGAAAAATAAGTGACGCACACAATTTTTTTTTTTTTACAAATCATCTTGTTCTCGATTCCCAATAATATATAGGGTTATATAGGTATAATATGCTTCTCTAATATATCGTTTTATCAAACATGCTCATCAACTATTTTTAGATCGAACATGCTCATGTACTGTGGTAAAATGATCAAAATGCCCTTCTGTTAAGAGTTTCCTTCAAAAACCGTCAACTACGGCCGAACCTTGGTTTGAGCGACACAAATATCTCAAATATCCCTAATAATTTCACTTTAGAATTTTTGTCGTTATTTTGTATAGCCAAATACCTCTAATAATTTCAGTTTAACGAGACTTAGAGAAATAAATCAGGGGACAAAGCTGACATTTCCCTCCTCTTTGCCAATGTCGGGTCATCTAAATCTCGGTTCAACCATAGTTGACGATTTTTTCAATGGAAATTTTAATAGAAGAGCTTGTTTGATAAATTTTCCAAAGTGCAGGGACATGTTTGATCTAAAAAATAGTAAAGAGACATGTTTGATAAAACTGAACAATAAAAGGACATATTATACCTATAATCCTAATATATAATAAAAAAGTATCAGTAATACAACAAGTTATAAAAATGGTGAACACTAAAGGGACGTATCACCAACCCTTCCTCTCCTCGTCCCACCGTATCTTCTCCCCAAAACGTCATATAGATAAATTAACAAAGGATAAAAGAGGGAGCCCTTCTAGTGTGCTCTATAGCACCCATGCTATAAAAAAGGTGACCTGTTGAGGAGGTAAACCCACTAAATGTATACAAGTGTAAATAATGAATCAATGTATACAAGTGTAGGTACAAATTAGAGTTGTACCATATCGTATAGGTACAAGTTTCAGCTGTACCATTGAAATATTTGTTTCACAAAGTGTAGGTACAACTTAAAGTTGTACCATTAGTATAGGTACAATTTTGAGTTGTACCATGAAGGGATTTATTAGAAAGTGTAGGTACAACTTAAAATTGTACCATGGTATAGGTACAAGTTTGGGTTGTACCATAGAAGGATTTTGAAAAAGTGTAGGTACAACTAAAAGTTGTAGCATTAGTATAGGTACAATTTTTAGTTGTACCATAAAGAGATTTATTAGAAATTGTAGGTACAACTTAAAGTTGTACCATTAGTATAGGTACAATTTTGAGTTGTACCATAGAGGGATTTGTTAGAAAGTGTAGGTACAACTTTAAGTTGTACCATGGTATAGGTACAAGTTTGGGTTGTACCATAAATAATTTTGAGAAAGTGTAGGTACAACTAAAAGTTGTACCATTAGTATAGGTACAATTTTGAGTTGTACCATAAAGAGATTTATTAGAAAGTGTAGGTACAACTTAAGGTTTTACCATAAGTATAGGTACAATTTTGAGTTGTACCATAGAGGGATTTGTTAGGAAGTGTAGGTACAACTTTAAGTTGTACCACAAGTATATGTACAAGTTTGGGTTGTACCATAGAAAGATTTTTAGAAACTGTAGGTACAACATAAGGTTGTACCACAAGTATAGGTATAATTTTGAGTTGTACCATATTGGGATTTGTTAGAAAGTGTAGGTACAACTTAAAGTTGTACATAATGTATAGGTACAATTTTGAATTGTACCATAGAGGGATTTTTGGGAAAGTGTAGGTACAACTTTAAGTTGTACCATAGTGTAAAGGTACAACTCTACAAAGTGTAGGTACATCTTAATTCCACGACCTTTATTTTGCCAGAATGAGCCGTGAGAACGTTTGAGTGGCAGCTGTGTGTTTCAATTTCACTTGAGATTTTTTTTATAATAATTTCACGTTTATTTTGCCAGAATGAGCCGTGAGAACGTTTGAGTGGCAGCTGTGTGTTTCAATTTCACTTGAGATTTTTTTTATAATAATTTCACGTGAGATTTTGACGGGCGTGAGAATGTCAAGTAGAAGCCGTGAAATTTCCTTGGATAGTGAGAACTGCTCTTTGCATCTCACAGGACATCTCACGGCCGTGAGATTTGCCTGAGGAATGAAGCACTGCTTTTTACATCTCACTGGAGCATTTTACTGTCGTGAGATTACCAGTATGAGGTGTCAGATTTCCAGTAGGAGACTTTCACCTATAGAACTATCCTCTCTACTTATTATAATGGTGTTTCAAACATAATGGACTATTTTCCAGAAACTTATGAAAAGGATGATTCATTATGTTCTCTAAAGCTAGACACCAACATTATATAGATCCATTCAATGTGACTAGATACTAACTTCGAAAAAACAAACATGACAAGTTGAGACATAATGTTCTTTCAAGCTAAACACCAGCATTACATGTTGTGCTTGGATCGTTTGCTTCAACTTCCCCAACGCCTTCATTTTCAACAACATCTCTTCACCCCAAGCATTTAACAAATGACAACAGCAACTTCTATGAAACTGCCACCATCATAAGTCAAGAGATGGCACCAAGACCTTCATAAACTCCAAGCTTCCTTCTATATTTTGCAGTGATGAATAATTTCAGTCTGCTAATTTTGGACTTTGCAACAAACCACACATTAACACTTGCAACCATGCAAAAATTTTGACACTTTTGAGATCATTGTTCCAACTTTGAATCTCTTATGCCTTCTCATTTCTTCATGAACCCTTCCAAGCCAGCTACAATATACTACATAGTAAGTTGCAGCCAAGAAAGAATCTATCCCATCTCAACAAAGTGGGATTATTCTGCTAACTGGTACCTACTGACAACCAACCGAAGTTAGATTTCAAGAAGCATTAAGGATAGCCAAATTGGTAAAATACATAATGAGCAAATAATATATGGAATTATCAAGTATGATCATCAGAACTAGACCGACAAACTTTTAACCATTAATTTAAAGACAGCTAGTACCGTTGAAGGCAACTGTCGTGCGATTGAATAGAACAAGACCAACAGAAGAGAACACCTTTGGTCGTGTAAGACTCTAATTCCGAATCGGAGTTCGTAGCTAGCTGATGTAAGCTGAGTAGAGGAGTAGGTTCCAGGTATCAGGGAGGCCAGGAAGGCACCAATGGCTACAATCGGTGCCCGAGTGGAGGCCGCTATAGGAACCAGGGTGAGCATCCTTCCTGTACAACGACATACCGGTGACGTCCATAAGGTACACTGGCCTGATCTTGATCCTGCTGAACACCTTGTTCACGACAGCCCACGCGGGAGGCATCCCTGCAGTGTACCTTACCCCAAAGAAGGGCTGGGTCTGCCCTGAACACGTCTGCGACGGCTGGTTCCACTCCCTGCCGTCGTAATGCGTTGGGGAGATGTCCTGGAAGAAGACTTTGGTCCTCCGGGGATCGACGTTGCGATCCACCCATCTGGCCCACGTCGTGAGCCCTTTGTAGTACGCCACTAGCCTGTTCATGTCCTTGTACAGCTTGTTGCCGTCTTGTATGTAATCCCATCTGCATTTCGGATTTTGAATCGTGCTCGATTTATGAGTAGTAGAAAATGATGTATTAATGGAGCTGGGTGAGGGGGCATACGGCTGAGTTCTGCCGGTGTGAGTCCACCAGTGCCAGGAGTTGAAGATGAGGACGTCCATTCCGCGCCAGGCGTTGCCGTTGGCGATGGAGTCCAGTTTGAGGACTCGTCCTGCTTTCCTGTCGTTCACGATGTCCACCAGGTATGGCATTCTGTACAGGTGCGATTGAATAGAGCTTATGCAGAGGCCAGGAGATAGTAGCCAATGCCAAAGGTATATCTTAGTCTACACTATACTTATTTATGCTCTATGCTCAGAGATAACATGCACTTGGGTAACAAACTTGTACCCGGAGTACGATTTCATTTAATTTCAACTTGATTAACTTTTTTCCATCAAATTTCGTCTATATGTAATACAGCAGCCAAGACCAAGCCCAAGCTTATGCATTTATACTAAAATAGGATAGTTCCAAGGCATGGATGCATACCCTATACAAGGTAATACAGACGAAAAGGATAAGGTGGAATTGATAAATAAGGGGTTCAATTTGCTGCAGGTTAATTGATATGGACAGAGATTTCATAAGCTGTAATTGAAAACAGCAGCTCATAGTGGCAAATAGTCAAAAACTGAAACAGGGAAAGACTTACTTTGTGGCAACGAGATAATATTGAAGATGAATCGGTTGTTGACTGAAGAGGAGGTCGAGAGCAGAAGAAAGAAATAAGGCATTCGACTGTCTCCAGTCCATTCTAGCCTAGAAGCAGCAGAATATGATGGATTTGGAGTAACGGTTTTGCAGTGTGGTTTAGGAGTTTTTCTCTAAAATGCAACTAACTGGTTAAGCTGAAACATCGGGGTACATTCTACAGTTGTAGTTAATGATGGAAGTTTACCTTGTTATCGAATCCGGATGTCATGATCTGATCTTTAGCAGCTGCCAAGCACTTGATCTGGGAATTTACCCCCTTTCCAATTTACCAGCATAACCAATACACTGGATCCATTTGATAATGTGGCCATCGTAGCTGCTTGTCAAAATCGTCTTCTGTTCATCCTTCGCAGAAATTCACAATGAAATCCTCTCCGCAGTAACAATCCGGAACGACCGATCGGCTTGAACGCACAGCTCAACACTCGCTTCGAATTTCCGTCGAATTCCCCCACGGTGCTACTCGAATCCCACCTTCAGAAATCCGGGATACAAATTGCTCGCTCAATAACTTGTTAAATTCGAAATTAGGTTTTGAAGGCAAAAGGGGGTAAAATTACGATAAGAGGGAGGGAGGGGGAAACTCACACGAAAGCACGTACGAAGTATTTTCCCTTGTCGTCGCCGGAGATGACGATCCTCAGTTGATTAGGGGATCATTGCAGATCGTCGATTCGGCCGGAGAGGATGCAAAACTCGTTGTGGAGGACGAAGCTGTTACGGACACCCCAGATCTTTGTGGGGGGAGTAGCGAGCGACGGTGACAGGGTAGCCGTGCTCGCCGTAGACATCGACTTTGAAGGGTTGGTCGAGGTACCTAATGATGACGGAGCGACCGTTGGTGTAGAGGATGGTGTTGGATTTGGCATCGCCGGAGATTAGAATTCCTCGCCCGAGCTCTGTCGACGGGGAGGAGAAGGATAAGAGAACGAGTTTTGAAACTTTACAACTGGTATAACCGGTTGTCCATACGCAAATAAAACAATATATTAATAATTTAAATAAGATCTAATGGCTGATATATTTTGAATATGATCTAATGGCTGTAAACGTTTTATAGCACCAATACTATAAAGCACACTAAAATACCTCTAAAAGAGGTGTTGACGTTCAATAAACATATAGATACAATTTCGTAAAAGGAAATAAACATGAGGGTACAATTAAACACCAGTTAGCTACGTTGGGCCGGCTAGCTCTTGTAACTCGGAAATACCGTGAATTTTGTCATTTCTATCTAATTCGTAATTACCATGTATGATAGTTTGATCGAAAAAAGTCCCATATCATATTTTGTGACGCCAAAAAATGACATAACGTCTATTATTTTAATAAAAATAATAATGAAAAACTTTACAAGGTAAATAATCATCCCTCTTTCATGTACAAGTTTAATTTACATAATAATAAAGTTGAAGTTACAAATGTAGTTTGTTACAAAAAATTGTACGAAAAGGTATATGTAACTTGAATTTATATTGTAAAGAATTTGTACAAAAAGTATAGGTATAATCATATAAGTTTACTCGGTACCTTAACGTGAGTACAAATTCAATTTATACTTTATACCATAACAATTTTTTTAGGATAATGTCTATTTATTAACCAAACCTTATTTGGATTCTTTTATTTTATCCAAATCTATTGGAATATTATTTATTAACCAAAAATAAATCTCCGTTGACTTTTTTGTTTGATGATGGTGAGCTGTCAAACGTGGCGCTGAGTTGGAAGGAATATTCTGACATGGCAGTCAAAAAATGCCACATCAATCGGTCAACCATTGACCATCTTTTCCACATTCTTTTTTATTAGCTAAACCTATTGAATTACTAATATTTTTTTTATAATGGTGAAATATTTTATTAATTAAAGGAATTAAAAGAAAAAAGAAAAAGGACAACACAAGAAGCCAGGATCAAAAGGATCCAACCATAAACTGAGAGGGAACAATTATTCGGGTCGCTGCAGAGAAGTTTAGCAAATGAATCCCCAACCCAAACAAAGACTACTAATTCTAAATGGGAAAGAGAAGCTTATAAATTGACCCGAATAGCAGACCAATTTGCCCAGCAATGAAACTCAGAGGTAACTTCCTTTGCTTCCTCTGCAGGTGATGAAGATGTGAGTCGCGTCCTCCTCACTAGCATCACATAGGACGCATATGCTAGGAAGGTTCCATCCCCTCTTCTTCACAAGAAAGTGCAATTTTTCGTCAGTATGTGACTTTGCCATATCAACTTATGTAAAATCTACTAAAATGCGGAAGCACACACAATGATTTACGTGGTTTCCTCGTTCAATGAGAACGAGACTACTCCACGAAGAACCGAAGCTCTCAGGTTATTGTATTTCTTTTCTGCAGCAGGTTTTGATGTATGCGCTCTCTTGAGAAGCGCCAACTACAACTCCTCCTAATATACCCCATCTACGTAGCAACTTAGGGTAATTAGGTTACAAGTAAAATACCAGGAAAGGTCCTCAAAGATAATGACAAAGACAAAATGGTACACGGTTCAACACTCCCCCTCAAGCTGCAACATGTAAATCACGAATGCCAAGCTTGCACAGAAGATGGTTAAATTGCTCCGTGCCCAAAGCTTTAGTAAAGATATCAGCCAACTGAGAAGCACTACCAATCTTCACTGGCGCGACCTCTTTCGATACGACACGTTCTCTGACGAAATAACAGTCCATTTCAACGTGCTTCGTGCGCTCGTGGAAAACTGGATTAGCAGCAATGTGTAACGCTGCCTGGTTATCACAATGTAGTGGTGTGGCGCCTGTCTGTGGTACACCTAGTTCGGCAAGGAGAAACCGCAACCATATCACCTCACTGACAGTGCTCGCCATCACCGGTATTCTGCTTCAGCTGAGGAACGAGAGACCACCTTCTGTTTCTTTGTCCTCCACGAAACCGGTGCACCATCCAGCTGTATATAATATCTTGTAGTCGATCTTCTTGTTGTCTGGCATCCACCCCAATCTGCGTCACAGTATGCATTCAGCTCGAGCGATCCAGTGGCAGGAAAAAATAACCCTGCCCCGGTGATTTTTTCAGATATCAGAGCACTCTCATCGCCGCGGCCACATGCTCTGCACCGGGACAATTAACAAACTGAGATAATATATTAACAGCATATGATATATCGGGACGGGTTACAGTGAGATACAGAAGACGCCCCACAAGCCTCCTATAGCTGCTGACATCATCTGCCACTTCCTCCGTCGGCCTCGTGAGGGTGTGATTTTGCTCCATAGGGAAGTTGCTCGGACGTGATCCGACAACTCCTGCATCATCCAAGATATCCAAGGTATATTTTCTCTGACTCAAGACAGCTCCATCCGCGGACATTGCCACTTCAATGTCGAGAAAATACTTCAAACCCCCCAAATCTTTGATGCTGAATTTCTCATCCAAAAATTGCTTAACATTTGCAATAAAAGCCTGGTCCGTACCGGTTAAGATCACGTCGTCGACATATATCAAAGCCGCAACAAATGTCTCCCCCTTGCGGTAGACAAGGAGCGAGTGATCTGCATTCGAAGGCGAAAACCAAGTTCTGACAAAGCAAGGGTGAATTTTTGGTACCAATTACGGGATGCCTGGCGCAGCCCATAAATTGACTTCTTGAGGCGACATACCCTGGTGTCACCCGTTGCGCCAAAACCAGGTGGTAACTTCATGTACACCTCTTCTTCCAGGTCACCATGCAAAAATGCATTGTTCACGTCCAATTGGTGAAGGGGCCAACCACGATTGACAACAATAGCGATCAGAACCCGAACAGTAACAATTTTGGCAACGGGAGCAAAGGTGTGTCATGGAAGTCAATACCTTCTAGTTGAGTGAACCCTTCAGCAACTAACCGAGCCTTGAAACATTCTATGGAACCATCCGGAAAATACTTGATCCTGAAAACCCACTTCGCATCAATTGCCTTCTTGCCGGGTGGAAGAAAAGTTAATTCCCAGGTGTGATTGGCTATAAGTGCCTGAACTTCCTTGATCATTGCCTCCCGCCAACGAGCGTCCTTCATGGCCTCCAAGAAATGGCGAGGTTCTTCAAGCTTGGAGATGGCAGCAAGGAAAGCTTTGGGCGCAGGTGAAAAATGGTGATAACTGACCTGGTGAGACATCGGATATTGAACCTGGGAAGCGGCAGTGGAAGAACCAGGAAATTCCGTGTCATACAGGTCCACCAGGTGACGTGACGGGCGTCGGTCACGAAGGCCGCGACACACCTCAGGAGCAATAGGAGAAGCCTCTTGGGCAGGTGCCGAAGATTCACTTTCTCTCTGCGGTGAGTCTTCATCAGCATCATCATGTAAGGCAGATACCTCATCATCAACATGCGAAGAGGTAGGGGGCTCAAAAACGTCATGCTCATCATGAAACCCGCAAGGAATGCTGCGGGGAGCAGCGGTCTTGGGATCATGGGAGTCAAGCTGGCGTTCACGATAGGGAAAACTGTCCTCGATGAAGCGAACGTCACGCGAAGTAATGATCTTGCGTGCCTTGAGATCAAAAACCCTGTACCCTTTCTGAGCTGCGGGATATCCAACAAACACACCAACTCTCCCCCTTTCGACAAACTTATCGAGACTTGGGCTAGTATCCTTGGTGAAAACAAGGCATCCAAAACTCCGAAGATGGTGATAGGGAGGGGCACAACCCAGCAAGACCTCGAAAGGTGTCTGATTACCAAGGACACTGGAGGGTAACCTATTTATGAGATACGTGGCGGTCAACACACATTCTCCCCAAAAATGAATGGGTAACCCCGAATGAAATCGGAGAGCTCGCGCTGTTTCTAGAAGATGACGATGCTTCCGTTCGGCCACACCATTCTGCTGCGGCGTGTTTATACAAGATGTCTGAAGCTGAATTCCGTTCTCCTCATAATAGTGATGGAACCCTGTTGACTGAAATTCCTGACCATTATCAGCTTGAATACGTCTACCCTGTCCCTTGTATTGGGTTCGGACCATTTCACAGAAGAGACGAACATACCTCTCAACATCTGACTTAAAACGCAACAAATAGACCCATGTAGCTCGACTAAAATCATCCAATACTGTCAAAAAATATCTAGAGCCATCCAAAGCAAGGGTACGATAACCGCCCCAAATATCCATGTGCACAAGCTCAAAACAAGCAAGGGTCTTAATCGAATGGGAAACAAAAGGATCCCTAGTAAGTTTGGCACGAAGGCATGGATCACAATGCTGCATCTCGTGCTCAAAATCCGACAAGGACAGAGGTGGTAAAAGAGATTTCAAAGAACGAAGCTTCTCGATGGAGGGGTGCCCTAGCCGCATGTGCCAAAGTCTCGATGGAGCCTGTCTTGCTGCGCCTACGAAACCGTCAGACATCCTATCACCAAGTCGAGATTCTAGCTCCGCACACCTCCTAAGATAGTAAAGCCCATCGCATAGTTTACCCAATCCAATCATGGTCTTGGAGCGTGAGTCCTGAATCACGCAAAGATCAGCGACCAAAGTTAGGGTCACATTATTATCCTTTGTCAATCGACTTACGGATAACAAATTGCACTTGAAGCTGGGCACAAGGAGGACACGGTTTAACTTCAGCTTTGGGTTCAGCTGCGTTGTTCCCACTCCTTCTACTGGCACACTCGAGCCATCAGGAATACGCACAGGCAAATGAGATTCTTTAGTATCTACCTCGTCCAACCAACGTGAATCATGCACAATGTGCTCATTACAACCTGAATCAATGATCCATTCGAAAGGTTCAGGAGATTTACCAGCCATGTGTGCAGTAGGTTCAGGTACGGAAGTCGAAGACGATGCCAACAGCTGCTTAAGTTGTTCAAATTGAGCTGCCGATAACCCTGGAATGGGACTCTTGCCAGTCTCGACTTTTGCCGCACGCGGCTGTGGTTTCCCATCATTTTTGCTCCTTCGA